CGGCCAAGATTAACTTGGTGCAAATATATGGAAGGAGTCTGTTCCAGACTCCATTTGTCTTTTGCCGAAGATGAGCATCTGGCACAGTATCGGGAAGGTTGGAAGCTGTGTCTGACGCGTCTGCCTCCGCGACCCAAAAGGAGAAGCGGCGATGGAAGATGAAGATAAAAATAATATGGATAGAGTAAATGCATATATAACGGGCATTTTGTTCTGTTAGGATAAGGCTTGCGCACTAGCCTACAGGTACATCGTCCTGTTGTCAGTGCGGCATATTAAAATTGAAATAAAGAATTCGCTTGGAAAGAACAGTTAAAGAATTAAAGAAACGATACCCGTAGGCTGCTTATAGTTTAGTGTCAGATTTTAGATACTTCGTTTCACCCGCCTTCACTTTATTCTAATTTGCTGAGAACGTCCCTTTTATCTTCTCTTAACACAGGTCAGATTCGCTGTCGGCAGAATTTCAAACACACAGTCGAAAGACTGCGGAATTCGAACCCAATCCCGGAAGAATGTCTTTACTTTCTCTGATGTACTTAAGTCAGTACCACTACGTAGAAACGAAGCAGGAGATCTGCCGCAGCAGTGGCCACCTAGCCAGAGATATCGACCCCAAAATAAAAAGGCACCATTAATTAATGGCACCGCGTTAGTGGTACTGGTATTTCAGTACCACACCACAAATTTGATGACAAATGGTGCTACAGATACCGCCCATATGGAACTGCACTGGAGAATGATATCTTAATTGCTACAAGCTTTCCCTTTCGATTTTACAGAATAATATTACCATATGGGACGGAAAAGTTTAGGGAGGTTATGATTCAATCTCTAGAATAAATGAAAGTGAATGAGTGAAGCAAATGAAGTTAAAAGTTGAACAACGATTAACTGTTGTTGTATTCTAGTATGCGAGTTCACCGTTGTTACGGGATCGCGCATTGTTTTGCATATTAACAACGTTTCAGGTTATACTTCGCTGGTTATCAAAGTACATTGATAAATTTCTAACAAGTCAGATCAACGAGGCTACACTTGGAAGTGCGTGTGGCTTAAACTTGGCATTCCTTGTAAATTCGACTAAGTTATACTAGGAAACAGGCAATATCGTCGAAGAAAGAAGTAAAACATAATTCGCAACCTTACAAACTGGAACAGCGCTGACTCAAAGCAAGTGCTAAGGGTAGCGAAAGATCTTCCTGTCATCGGCAACACTGTGAGACCAATAAGCATGAAACAAATTGCAAAATTGCTGAAAAATTTCAGATTCGGGAAGATAAAAGAAGCAATGTTTATCCAGGTAGACAAATACGGTCAAAGGAACAGATACTAATAACATTCGGCTATTAATCACAAACTGTCCATTTTAAGCGACGCTTCGTCCCCTTTCCTTCCTTGGTTCTGAATTTGACCTCATCAATCTGGTTTCGTTAATTTTGCTTCTACTACTGTATTTTGACATGGAATCAAATATAACTTGAAATGACTAATTAAATTAATTAAATAATACATGCAGAGCAATCCCGCAACATACATGAAGACTATTAACTAATGAATTTACAAATTACGGCATGATATAAAGCGTGGTTAAAAAAATCTGCTGTCACTGAGTCGATATCTGGAATCACAACATAACGCTAGGACAGCAGACAGTCACTCCTACCCAGTGATAAACAGCAATTTCTGCACCATATCTTATGACGCTACCTTGAAAAAATCGGGTAACCATAACGGCAGAACAACGGCCTCTTGAAGCAAACGCTTGGCTTCAGACAATCCCGCAATGTCAGACCTGAAAGCAGAAAACATTCTGTTCGACGAAATCATATGCAGTCCGGAAACGCTACCAGTGAACGTTCGGATCACGTACGACGATATCGCGCTCAATGCATTCGGTTAAATCTTTATCGTATCCGGCAGAATCGAACTTCCGCTCAAATTCTAGATCATCCTACGAGAAAAAGATGCAAAAAAATTTGAGCACAATGTTAAGGAAATCAGAGAAACTTGCGTAAGTTTTTGGCAGAATGACTATCTTGTTTTGTGACTTTTCGATGTGCTAATCTAAAAGATTGCCTTTTCTCGGTAAGCCGTCAGCAAACAGGCCGATAATTCAATTCGAACAGAAGTTCTTGTTCATTACTACCCCAAACCCCAGTATGTAAGGTCAGCCTACAACACCACCTACACCCGAACCTTCAGCTACATGAGTTCCGTGGTACTCGGCTTCTGCAGGAAGCCTAAATGACGCACAAGGATTAGACTTACCGCAACCGAAAGGCTTAGAGTTAATTAACTACACAGATTTCAACTTTATTTCAGCCTACTTTCAACGCCTGTACTTGTCTGCCTCTGCAAGTGTTTTGCAGTCGCATTTTTTATACTGTCTGATCGAAATTCCAGGCTTGTTCTGCGTTTTTTGTCAGCAACTTTATTTCGAAACAAATGCAAATTTGCTCTGAACGAAGCCTCAATGACCCAAAAAGTTTTGACGAAAAGAAGCGATATGATGAAAATGACTGCCTGATTTTCGAAAGCATACCAAGCAGCTGCGCAAACATTTTCCGAGTGCTGTCAGATCGTCAGCATGCCAGGCAAACAGGCTGCTATGGCACTAGTATATACGTTCGCCCTCAGAGGATATTCAGGTTACTGAATGCAGGTATAGATACTACAGACATTAATAACTACCTAGCTTTGGTGTGATGGTACGCGGACGACTTTTCAAATAAATATTGTGTAATGATACCGTCACCAGCCGGTTTGAGTTTGAAAATGATTCTTTTTACTTTTAGTACTCACATATATACAGCAAAAAATAGCAAAACAATTATAATACCTGTAGAAAACAAGAGACGACACCTCAAGACGGGAGGATGGAAGAAGATATGAATTAAGTGGAGTAACACTGATTTTCTGTAGATCGCAGTAATACCTTTTGGAATGATGAAGTTTCCTCGTCTAGCGGAACTCTGAGAATAACAGGCTGTTTAATCTGCGTAAAGCGGGTGGGTGGTATCACGAAAGAGCCGTTCAGCGAAGTAGAGAGAGCCGTAACAAGCAGTCTGCACAATGGCCTTAGCCACAAGATCGTACTGCAACGCTATATATCTCGGGATTGCCCTAATACATCGAGAGCGCAAAATCACCACCCATTAAGGTTTCAAAATACGCACATATTCGTAATGATAACTGGCAATATATGGCACCATGTAAATTTCCAGAGCAAATAAAACAGTGGATGAAGAAGATCGAAGTCCGGGTACATCACCTTGCTGAATATGTAAACTATGTGATCATGCCATGTCAACCCGTAATTAACGATCACACCGAGGCAATTTACATTTTTAACCTCGGCAACTGGATTAGAATATTTTTTCTGGTAAGGTTGACGAGACCGAGGTTGCGGATGTTTAGAGGAATGACTCCATTCGTGTGAGTTAGATGAGTCTAACAGTTTCTTCACGCCGCTACTATACTCTTCGAGGTCTTTGTGGTTTCTAACAACTGCAATGATGGGTACTGTAATCCGCATATTTCCAGCACAGTCGTAGTAGGTCAAGTATAAAATTAATAGAGAGATACGAACCTTGCAGTTTAGGTTCACTGCTAGTAGGTTAGACGAAATGAAGCGTGTGTTTACGCTACCTTTCCCGGTCTAATAATGTGAACGATGGTCATCTGAGTCCATTTCAAAATATCATTTGTAAAATGCCGCCGAAACCGCTTTACGGTTCATCCAGTGAGTCGACAGGCATTATTCAGAGAGTAGCCGACATGATATAATGATTTCATTACGTCTTCTTCAGGGACCAATACAAACGCTGGCTTCAATCCTCCGATTTAGATTTACGTCCATGTCTTCCTATTTGGCAAGACCTGGCCTTGTCTTGGAAGCACATGGAAATTGGCAACCAACTGTAATGGTTATGAACACCTCATTCAGCCATTCATTACAAACCTTCCCTGCTAGAACGCAAGGAAAACATACACTTGTTCGTGGTAAGGGATTCCTGTATTTTGCGCAAGCCCACTCTCAGTAAGTGAATGTCGAAGTCGACTATTTCTGAAAAGCTACTTTTCACAGTATATAAGTTACTGTCCAGAATGGTAATCCGTAATACCGGTAAAGACTGAAATGAATTAGCATTTCATTCCATACCGATATGGGATATGGAATGAAACTAATTAGCTTTTCAGTTCAGAGTGGTAATGTGGTTTTTATCACATTATTCCCTAAGCC